TTAAGCTGACAGTCAAACTCCAAGGCCAAGTCACCTTTGCAACTCTTGCACAAGCCTCTCAGAGAATGCTGGCACCACCAGTTACGGACAGACACACCTACCTGCTGGGCAGTATCTATCTATTGAGTTTTGGCTTGCTTGTTTCTTCTGGAACCACCTCTCTAGTGAGGGAGGAACCAAGATCTACCCATTTGCAGATAGGGGCGTTTGTGTTCATACTGGCCAAGAAAAATTGCACAAAGTTGATCTACTTCCTTCCTCTGCCTTCTCCTTAGCTTTCTTTGCAGGCTCCTCCATATCCAAAGGCCTGAGGAAGGATTCTTTTCTCTCTCAGATTCCCCCATTATTATGTTAAACTTCCAGTTTCTCTCTGCTTCTGGCACACAAGTTCAGGCAGGCCCTGAGGTCCCTTGACCTTGCTCAGAGCTTGGCCTTCACCTGGCCCTGGCTGGTCACAACTATTCACCCCTACTGTGGGCCCTCTGCTGAGTTCCCTGATGCCCCTTGGTGCCAAAGGCAGCAGCATCTCTCCCACCAAGGCCATCCAACAGGCATTACGACCCAGCCCTTGCCCCTCCTTAGTTAGCCCTGGCTCAATCCTGGACGATTCCTGCTTCTTCTGCAGCTCAACATGAGCCGGGTCAGGCTAGTCAAACTGGTGGCCACAAGGCCCTCAAGATGACCCTGGATTAGGGTACCCACAGGCATATGTGTGGGGGTGACCAAGGGGGTCAGGGAGGGAAAAGGAAGACTCAGGTGGTCAGGAGTGCTGACCATGGTTACCTGGAAGAAGAAACTAAGACAGAGATGAGGTTTGATAGGGAATGGCAGGGATAGGAATGTTGTAACAACCACAGGGAGGTGAAACCAGTCTGGGGAGGAGGTGAGCCTAGTGAATTATCTCCTGCTTCTTTGAGTTCCCACTCTGGTCCTCTCGTGTGTTCTACTGCCAACCTTTCAGTTAGTTTGCATCACCCAGGGACTCCTAGAACCAATCTGAGACCGAAAGCCAGCCCTTTGTCTCATAAGACTTGCTGATAGCCTCTGCCCCTGAGCCTCTGCCCCTCTTTACCCAGGGTCTAACCCAGAGCACATATCCAGGGGCACTGAGGCAGATGTGGCAAACACAACTGTTTTGGTTACTTCGTGCTGCTCTAACAGAAAATACCACAGGTGGAATAGCTTTAACAAGTAGGAGTTTATTCTCTTACAGTTTTCGAGGCTAGAAGTCTGAGTTCAAAGTGCCAGGCTCTAGGGGCTGGGTGAAAGCCCCTTGACCTTGGGCTTCAGCTCTGTCTCTTGCTCCTGGCCACTGAAGCTGGAGTCTTTCTTCACTCAGGCAGCTTCTGGATGCTGAGGCTGACAAACCCAGGGTCGACAAATAAAAAGGCATTTTTCCCCGATATCACCAAATCACAAGGCAAGCCATTGATTCAATCAAGTCCGTTAAGAGTCCCAAGATCCGCAGATAACATGGCAGGCTGCTGAATAACAACTCTATTACGCGCAGGATTCAAGCTTGCCAAAAATACTGGACCTTTCTCAAAACTTCGTATATACTAGAAGCAGACCACATCCATAAGGCAGCTACTCAGCTGCTCACAGTAGATTCCACCATGGAGTTAAGTACCAGTCTCATCATGGGGAATACTATATCCAGCTGCCCAGCCACTCAGTCACACCCAGCCAAGTTGTCATGTAATCTTAACAACCACAACATATGACTGGAAGGTGAAAAGCATGGGTTTGATAGGGAATGGCAGGGATAGGAATGTTGTAACAACCACAGGGAGGTGAAACCAGGCATGGGAGGGGAAACCAGGAAGTGGAGAGGCTAGCAGGGAGGGTGGGTGAGGGTGTGCTGAGGTGCAAGGAGGGTCGGGGAAGGATAGGAAGCTGAGAAGGCATGGGCAAAAGGGCCCAGGGAGGAGGTGATTTGTTGGGCGGGATGGACCAACCTAGGGGATTGAGGACAGGGATAGATGTGGTGGAGGAAGGGGCTGTAGCAAAGTGACTACTGAGGTCACCGTGGTGGGTGGTGGTGGGGTGTTTCCCTAGGGATAGGAGGCCAAGCAAATGAAGGGAACAGATGCCTCACATAATACCTCAGACATGCCAAGGCCTTTGGGGATCATGGGTGGGTGGGAGGGGATGAGGAAGGAAGAATGGCATCTCTGGGCCCAGCCACCTTGCCCTGATTTGTCCATTGGGCCCAGGCTCCTGTGGGGCCCTCATGCATGCTTCTTATTCACTCTGCCTAAACTCCCACCTGAAGTCACTCACCTCACTTCACCACTCCTCTTTCCTGCTATGGACTTCCTTCCCTATTCATGGGTCCAAAGGGACCTTCAGGAGGCAATGTTAACTGCTCCTCAGTGACTTGTTCTGAAAACTGGAACCTCAGATTCCTTGACCCATCCCTGGTCATCCTTTCTGGTTAATGCAGGTCAGAGCTGGCCAGAGCTCATATCCATGGGGAAAGAGCTCTGCAGCTGCCTCATTTGGATACCCCAACCCTTGAGTGGTTGCTCAAGGAAATCTCACTTCAGGTGTGATATGCATCTCACAGACATGGTGTTAAGTCCACTTCTAGGTGGAGACCACAGCTGGGCAGGGCTGTTTGGGCCGGTTTCCTGCCCATTAAACTGTGGGGCCATTATTCTCAACTCCTTAAACTATCATGCTTTCTCTATTAACCTCCCTGCTGGCTGAGTAGGGATGCTTCTAGTGATAGGAGTAGCTGGATAAGAACTTAGGAAGGGGTGGGGCTCCAGGCCCAGGGCTGATGCCTAACTTAAAACTGTGGAAAACAAGGGCTAGACAGGCTTTTTTTAAAATTGTGATTTGGGTGAAAATTTACAGAGCAAATTCACTTTCCATACAGCAGTTCACATATACTTTGTCTCATGTCATTGACTACAATTCACTCCAATGCAACAGCTCCCCTCCCACTTCCTCCTGATAGTTACCTCTTCCCTGTGTCCATCCCTCCATGCACCCCTGCCTCCTGAGCTGTCTCCCTGTGCATAAACAGCCCTTCTCTCTCCATGATTGTTCTCTCCAAGGAGTATATCTACCTCAGGTAAATGTTCAACTCATATGCCTGTCTACTGTTTGACTTGAAGCCACAGGTATAGGTTCAATTCCAGACCTGAAGGGGCCATAGTCTCAGTGGTTCCACCAGGCTCTATCACACCAGCAAACCTGGTCCCCCCCATTTCCCCCCCAAAATGATTTTGAGTTTTGTTCCATATTGTTCTCCCTTTTTATCCAGGATCTCCTACATAGATCCCCCGAGTGGTTGACAGTGGTAGCCAGGCACCATCTAGTTCTTCTGGTCTCATAGTCGTACAGGCTGCTGATCGTGTAGTATACCAGTCACTAGGACTGATTGTTTCCATAAGGCTTTTAAAAAACAAACAAAAAGTTACTGTTGAGTCTATTCTAATTCATGGTGACTCCATATGTTTCAGAGTAGAACTGAACTCCACAGGGTTTTCAGTGGCTGTGACCTTTTGGAAGCAGATTGCTAGGACTTTCTTCTGAGGTGTCTTTGGATGGATTTGAACTGCCAACTTTTCAGCTGGTTTGCATCACTCAGGGACTCCTAGAGTAGACCTCAGAGAAAATACAACCTCTCAGGTAGAGAGAGAGACCCAGAATCATAGACAATTCTCCTCTGAATATGTTTAGGTCTTTTCTTACACAGGCAAAGGCTTTCTTTGTGGTTACCCAAGGACATGTTGCACTGGTTGCTCCTGGGTTGGGGACTGGTGGCTAAAGGGCAGAGATAGGAGGAAGACTCTTCATTCTTTTTACCTTTTAGATTCTGAGTTAGTTGAATGTTACCTACTAAAAAAATATAAAATGCAAAACAAAAGTATCTCTTTTTCCCCCTTCTCTGGGCTCCTTTGGAGGATTAGCCCTTTTCAGGGGACTGGAGAAGCCCTTTGATTTGCTCAGTGGGAATGGGAGCTGCATCTCAGCCAACCCCTTAGTGTCCAACAAGCCAGGGAGCTCTCCAGCACACTACTGGAACAGTAAATGGGGGCTGCCCGCACAAAGCACCAGGAAAGCCATGACTACTTCAGGCACTGTGGCTAGCCTTAGGGAGCCTCAGCTCTCACCCTGCAGACTTAGAAGGCAGGTGGTTGTTCTCTGTCCTTCTGATTTACACCAGCCAGCCATCACTTTGCATGGTCATCTGGGCTGCTAGCTGGAAGGCTCCCTCAGAATGGTGCTTGGCTCCTCTTTGGAACACAGCCCTTGTCACTGACTCAGACTAGGACAAGCCCCTGAGCAGGAAAGATAGCCCAAAAGGGCTCCTGCAGTCAGTTCTGCAGAAAGCAATTCAGGTGGTACTCATATAGACAGGAAGGAAATGAATGTCAGTGCCATCGGCGGCTCCTCTGTCTCTGCCTCTAACTTGCTTTTGGGCAGTATCTTTCTCCTAAATTTCAGGAAATGACAAACACTGGGGAATCTGCCCATGCTTGATCAGGCCCAGCTGGAAGATAGCAGGCCTCCCTGAAGAGGTGAGGAGTGAAGCGGTGGGACAGCAGCAGAAGACTGGGCTGTGCTCCTGCCTCTGGTTGTGTACACGGAAAACAGCAGGAACGGGTCTGGAAAAAAGGGCTACTGTCTTAGGGACAGAGTCCCTAAGAACTTAAATGTTTCTCACATCTTTGAGTGTTTCTTCCAAGTACCATTTGTGGAGCATGAAATGAGCACTCAAAAACATGTTAAAGGAGAAACGAGACCTTTATTAGCCCCCAGGCACATTTCAATAGAGGCAAGAAGTAAACTGTTGGGACAAGGAAAGGCAAGGCAGAAGGCACTTGTAAGGGTCCCAGGGCTCATTACAGACCCACAACAGAGATGTTCTCTTCATACCAAGGATCTGGGTAGGTGAGAAAGGCTACCTTGTTCCCCTGAGACAGGCCAAACCCATCCCTGGCCTGGCTGAGGAGATGTAGAGTGGTGACCCCAGTCCAGGAGCGTTAGAACTTGCTAGTGTAGAGGGTCAAAATCCACTTGGGCATGCGGAGGAAGCCAGGAAAACAGGAGGCCAACCAGCTCAGGCTGGGGACCTGGCTGAGAACGGACCTCATAGACAGATAGTCTCTGACGGGGCGGCCTGAGAACAGGAAGAAGAGGAGGATTAGATCCTCATCTCCTACCCCTTGGACACCCCAATCTTGCCTGAAGAGACAGTGCGATGTGAGGAAGGAAGAGATTGGGCAAGAGTGAGGGAGGAGGAGTAAACAGGGAACAGAGGAAGAGAGGTCAAGGCTGGCTGCTGGGCCTAGAGCTCTTACCATCGACATCCCGGAGTTTGTACCGTCGAGCAAGGTCACAGGACGGCAGCACCTTCCCACTCAAGCTCAGAATATCAGGGTCTGTGGGCACACATACAGCTGGAGATGACATGGGAGTGGCACAGGGTGACAGGGTTTGGACTCAACAAGACAGGGTACTGCTGACACAGGCTCAGGATCCCAGAATTGTATCTCTCTGTTCCTAGGAAGGTTCCTGGGCCTCTGGCTCCCAGCCACACCACCTAGGGCCAATTTCTAAGGATTCCAAAGCTCACGCTGGGAATCCTGACCCTTTAGATCTCCAGAGGTCAGAGAAAAGAAGGGTTTATTCCTCAACCACCTCCTGAACCAGGATCCAGCATTTGCTGCCAGTGCCTGGCAGGTCCTCCATGCCCTTTCTTGTGGCCTGTTGCCCCAACCTCTTCACCTGTTGCCAGTGCCACAATACATTTGCCACTCAGTTCTGTGGTCTCTGCAGATGAGAATTCAGAATTGAGCTGAAACACAGGACACAGAAGTAAAAGGTTACCATCTGAGAGTACTGCCCAAATGTCTCCCCCACTTTCAGCTTCTGTTCCAGGAGGGGCCCTCTTTGCTCCATTTGCAGGAACCATTCCTCCCCTACATCCAAATGAGCCTGTACCCTGGAACCAAGACCCACTGTCTTTCCTGAGGAGGAGGATCTAGGGGTCTGACTGGCGTCTAGACCTTCTCAGTCAGTAGTTGAGTGAAGAGCCTGGGCTTCAGAGCTGGACAACTTTTCCACTTTACCAATAAGCCTTTCTATTTATGACCCATGTGACTTTGAGCAACTTTGTTATGCTCACTGAGTTTCAGTTTCTCCATCTGTAAAATGGAGATACTATCTCCCTTACAGGATGAAAGGAAATAGTGTATACAGGGCTCAGCCCCGGCCTGGCCACAGTAAGCACACGGCGAGCAGGAGTAGTTATTCCTGTGTCCTTGTTCTTGTCTTGGCACTGTGCATGGAGAGGCTGCCTCCTCTGCACTCTCTGCCTCCCTCACTCTCCCTTTGCCAACCTGCTTCAGCAGGGAATCGTCGGTGAAGTCCTCCTTGGCCATCTTCTTCAGCAGTTCTGTCTGCACCAGCCCTGGCCACAGAGACACGTAGCTGACCCCATGGTGCCATAGCTCATAGGCACAGTCAGCAGCCAGCCTGTCACACTGTGGAGGGAAGGAGGCAAGGTGAGTTCCAGGGCCATGTCACTTTCCTCCCCCTCCCATTCTGCTCTCCTTGGAGATGCCCAGCCGTCTCCCCTTCACAGGAGCTGAGGGCTCAGCTGCCCACCTTCTCCAGCAGGATGCTGCTCTGGCCAATGCAGAGGAGCCCAAGCAAAGGAACTGTCCATGGAGGGACAGAGGGAGAGCTGAGGCCCAGCCAGCCTTATCATTCCCAAGCCATGGGTAACATCACTGCCCCATTCCCCGTCCTTGGGCCCTGTGCCTCTGGATCCTCACCGCAGCTTTGCCCACACCATAGGAGACGTTGAAGAAATAGCGCAGCCCCCCAATGGAGGAGATGATCACGATGAGCCCCCGGCCAGCTGGTACCATCAGCCGTGCCCCATACACTGAGCACAAGTAGTGGCCTCTGGAAAATGGGGCAGGGGAAGCAAGAGGAGTTAGCACTGCTTAGTGCTGGGTTGAGGAGCTCTGGTAACATAGTGGCTAAAAGCACTTGACTGCTAACCAGAAGGCTGGCGGTTCAAACCCATCAGCCACTCCTCGGAAGGAAGGTTGGGCAATCCTACTTCCATAGTGATACTGCCTCGGAAACCCAAGGAGGGGTCGCTATGAGTCGGGCCGACTTGACGGCACATAACAACAACAACAACAACAGTGCTGGGTTGAGCACTGCAGCCCCTCAGCAGCATCCTCTGCCCTCTAGTGGCTGCAGTTAGCAGAGGGGAGGTTGCAGACCTGGGAAATAAGGCCAATTCTGAGAAGAAAACATAAAAACCAACCAGTGACAGAGAAGAAACAATAATCTTTGCATGGAATGAAATAAAAGTCATAGTAGAAATTACAAACATAAAATACCTTGGGGTAGGGGGGAGACTTAAGAAATGTATAGGAAATACATGGAAAAACAACTGTAACATTCTAATATAAAAGAACAAGTGCAGACATAATTGTTTGAAGGTAAGAATCAACATGTAAAACATCAATTCTAATTAAGTCAATCCATCCATTCAATTAAAGCTTATATGTATATCTTGATAAGATATTTTGTAGTAATTGACAAATAATCAAAAGAAGAATAAACTGAGAATATAGCGAGGAAAATCCTGAAAAAGAATAATGTCTTGTGGGTGGGGCGGATGTGTCCCCCCTTCCACGTTAAAATGTACAATAATGACACGATAGTTGAAAGCATGCAGTATTGGTATTACAGCAGGCAGATAAATCAATGAAACAAAAAAATCAGTAATTAGATCCAAGTGTAGATAAGAATTCAATGTACTACAGAGACAGCATTTCAAATCAATGTGGAAAGATGGATAATTCAATAAATAGATTCTGGAGGACTGGCCAGCCACGGTGGGGCACTGGGAGGGCATTGGCTTTCTATTTCATTTATGACTTCAAAATGAATGCCAAGAGGATTAAGTATTTGAATATAAAAAATGAAAGCACAGAAGTACTAAAAGAAAGTATGGGTGAAGGTGTTTATAAATAGGGTAGGGAGAGCTTTTCTTAGCATTACACCACACAAAAAAATTTTTTTCTTTATAGAAGAAAAGTTTGACAGGTTTGACTTCTTAAAAGAAAAACATATACACACACGTATTTATGTATATATAAAGTGTGAGGACAGCTTGTGTGCAAAACATTAATAGATTTTGGGGGATATTTACAAATTCCTATGTCAAAGAAATCTTGTTCTACAAAGCTCTCTTATAAACCAGCATGAAAAGATGACTAATGTAATAATACAAATGTCAATTCATTAAAGAATGAAGAATCAACATACAAATAATAAAAAAAAATAGCTCAACCCCTAGTAAAGAAATGTTAATTAAAACAACTTTGAGATTATTTTTGGCTTATTAGAGTTTTGAAAAGACTGAAAACCTGATAATGTCTGGTACCGCTGAGGACATGGGGAAGATACTCTCCTTCATTATCAAGTGATTATAAATTGGTGGGGTATTTTCAGAGGGCAATTAGATAATGTGTATGAACTCTTTAAGAAGTGAGTAGTCTTTGCCTCAAGAATTGCACTGCTGGAAGTTACTCTATAGAAATATTCAAATTTGAAGGCATCCAGGGGAGGAGTATTATTTAATTGGTAAAAATTGGGCAACAACTCAATTGCCACAAATATGGATTAGATAAAGAAATAATGCTACATCTTCCCAATAGACTACTTTGTGAGTATATATTAGAAAAATAAAAGAGAGGTATTTCTTTGAAAAATCTGAAAGAATATATACTAGACAATTAATAGTATCAGTCTCAAGGAAAATGCAATGAATAAGTTGTCGGTCTTACAAAATGCTACCATGCAATTTCCAATATTATTTCTATCACCAAGGCCATATTTTCCAACTACTGGGGATTCTTTTTTATTACCAACTTTTGCATTCCAATCACCAGTGATAAACAACACATCTTGATTGTATGTTTAGTCAATTTCAGACTGCAGAAATTGGTAAAAATCTTCAATTTCCTCATCTTTAGCTTTGGTGGTTGGTGCGTAAATTTGAATAATAGTAGTATTAACTGGCCTTCATTGTAGTCATAAGCATATTATCCTATCACTGACAGCACTGCCCTTCAGGACAGATCTTGAAACATTCTTTGTGATGATGAATGCCACGCCATTCCTCTTCAATTTGTCATTTCCGGCATAGGGGATCATATGGTTGTCTGATTCAGAATGGCCAAACCAGTCCGTTTTAGCTCACTAATGCCTAGGATATTGCTCTTTATGTGTTCCATTTCATTTTTGACAACTTCCAATTTTCCTAGATTCATACTCTGTACACTCGATGTTCTGATTATTAATGGATGTTTGCAGCTGTTTCTTCCTGTTTTGAGTCATGCCACATCAGCAAATGGAGGTCCTGAAAGCTATACTCCATTCACATTATTAAGGTCAGCTCTACTCTGAGGAGGCAGCTCTTCCCCAGTAGTATTTTGAGTGCTTTGTGACCTGAGGGGCTCATCTTCTGGCATTATATCGGACAATGTTTCAGGGCTATTCAAAAAGATTGCCAGTAAATATCAGACAGTGTTTCACTGCTATTTATAAGGTTTTCACTGGCCAGTTCTTTAAGAGGTGGATGGCCCCTTCCTTCTTCCGAGTCAATCTTTGTCTGGAAGTTACACTGAAACCTGTCCACTATGGGTGACCCTGCAGGTATTTGAAATACCAATGGCATAGCCTCCAGCCTCATAGCAACACACAAGCCACCACAGTGCAACAAACTGAGAGACGAGTGGTGGACTTCGCCAGATGGTTACACAGGAATCATATTGACTACATTGTGGAAAGAGCCGATGGAGAAGCTCAATATCTTCAGCCAAAACAAGGCCAGGAGTTGACTGTGGAACAGACTACCAGCTGCTCATATGCAAGTTCAAGTTGAAGCTGAAGACAATTAAAACAAGTCCACAGATTTAGAGACCATCTAAAGAATAGATTTGATGCACTGAACACCAGTGACCAAAAATCAGAGGAATTGTGGGATGACATGAAGAACATCATCCATGAAGAAAGCAGAAGGTCATTAAAAAGACAGAAAGGGAAGAAAAGACCAAAATGGATGTCAGAAGAGACTCTGAAACTTGCCCTAGAACAGAGAGTAGCTACAGCAAATGGAAGAAATGACAAAATAAAAGAGCTGAACAGAAGACTTAAAAGAGCAGCTTGAGAAGACAAAGTCATTTATTATAATGAAATGTGCAAAGAGTTGGAGTTAGAAAACCAAAAGGGAAGAACATACTTGGCATTTCTCAAGCTGAAAGAACTGAAAACAAACAAACAAACAAACAAAAAAACTTCAAGCCTCGAGTTGCAATATTGAAAGGTTCTATGGGCAAAATATTGAATGATGCAGGAAACATCAAAAGAAGGTGGAAGGAATAGAGAGTCACTGTACCAAAATGAATTTGTCAGTGTTCATCCATTTCAGAAGTTGGCATATGAAAAAGAACCAGTGGTGCTGAAGGAGGAAGGAAAACTGAACTGAAGGAATTGGCAAAGAACCAGGCTCCAGGAACTGATGGATGCTATGCTGGAGGCACTCACTTGTCTATGCCAGGAAGTTGGAAGACAGGTACCTGGCCAACTGACTGGAACATATCCATATTTGTACCCATTCCCACAGAATGTGGAAATTATCAAACAATATCATTAATATCATGTTGTTGTTGTTGTTGTTATGTGCCATCGATTTGGCCCCGACTCACAGCAACCCCTCCTTGGGTTTCCCAGGCAGTATCACTACGGAAGTAGGATTGCCCAACCTTCCTTCATATGCAAGTAAAATCTTTCTGAGGATAATTCAAAAACAGTTGCAGGAGTATATTGACGGAGAATGTCCAGAAATGCAAGCTGATTCAGAAGAGGACATGGAATGAGGGATAATAGCAGTGCTGATGTCAGATGGATATTGGCTGAAAGCAAAGAATACCAGAAAGATGTTTACTTGTGTTTTATTGACTTTGCAAAAGCATTCGATTGTGTGGATCATAACAAATTATGGATAACCTTGAGAAGAACGGGAATTCCAGAACACTTGATTGTGCTCATAAGGAACCTGTACACAGACCAGGAGGTTGTCACTCAAACAGAACAAGAGGATACTACATTGTTTAAAATCAGGAAGGGAGTGCATCAGGGCTGTATCCTTTCACCATACTTATTCAATCTGTATTCTGAACAAATAATCCAAGAAGCTGGACTATATGAAGAAGAGTGTGGCTTCAGGATTGGAAGGAAGACTCAGTAACAACCTGCAATACACAGATGACACAACTTTGCTTGCTGAATGTGAGGATGACTTGAAACACTTACTGATGAAGATTAAAGACTTCAGTCTGCAATATGGATTACATGTCAACATAAAGAAAATGAAAATTGTCACAAATGGACCAATAAGCATCATCGCAATAAATGGGGAAAAGACTGAAGTTGTTAAAGATTTCATATTATTTGGTTCCACAATCAACACCAATGGAAAGAGCAGTCAGGACATCAGATGACATATTGCACTGGGCAAATGTGCTGCAAAAGACCTCTTTAAAGTGCTGAAGAGCAAAGATCTCTCCTTGAAGACTAAGGTGCACCTAACCCAAGCCATGGTATTTTCAATTGCCTTATATGCATGTGACAGCTGGATAATGAACAAGGAAGACTGAAGAGGAGTTGATGCTTTTGAGTTGTGGTGTTGGGGAAGAATACTGAAAGTACCATGGACTGCCAAGAGAACAAACAAATGTGTCCTGGAGGAAGTGCAGCTGGAATGCTCTTTGACAGCGAGAATGGCCAGACTTCATCTCACTTTGGTCATGCTGTCAGAAGGGACCATTCCCTGGTGAAGGATATCATGCTTGGTAAAGTGGAGTTTCAGCAAAAAATCAAATGAGATGGATTGACACAGTGGCTCCAATGATGGGCTCAGGTATAGCAAGGATTGTGAGGCTGGCATAGGACCGGGCAGTGTTTCGTTCTGTTGTACACAGGGTTGGTATGAGTCAGAGTGGACTCGACAGCACCTAAGAATAACAACAGTCTCAAGGAAGGGAAGGAGTAGTGGTGAGAGCAATAAGATTATACAGGACTTTAGTTTTTTTTTTTTAAGATATATATAACACACATATTTGGTAATCAGAAAAATCTTTTGCCATTAACCAAAAAACCAAACTCACTGCCATTGAGTCGTATCCAACTCACAGCAACTCCTCCTTGGGATTCTGAGGCAGTATCACTATGGAAGTAGATTGCCCAATCTTCCTTCCGAGGAGCAGCTGGTGGGTTTGAACTGCCAGCCTTCTGGTTGAACTGCCAGCCTTCTGGTTAGCAGCCAAATGCCTTAAGCAGTACACCACCACAGCTCCCTCTTTTGCCATTGGGAATAGGTAAATATTTATCAAAGTAGATTGCCCAGTCTTCCTTCTGTGGAGTAGCTGCTGGGTTTGAATCACCAACCTTCTAGTTAGTAGTAAAATGAGTTAGACACTACACCACCAGAGCTCCTTTGGGAATAGTTAGGACCCTTCAAATATAAACAAATAGAGAGTTATAGTTTCAAAAGGAAAGCCCCACCCAAGGTAATACAGAGGAAAGACACAGTGAATGGGTGTGTGGGCAGGGGTTGGAGTGAAAGGGGCGGGTGGACTGCCTGAGACTTAGAAAATAGACTTAACTTTGGAGAATTCATCAGGCCCCAGAGTCTGGAGATCTAAGCCTGTGCTCTGTGGACTCAAAACCCTGACCAGCAAGAGATGAGGGTATGGAAGTCACTTCTCTTAGGAGGGTTATGGATGTGGGCACTACCAATTTCTAGCTCTTTGGGTTTTTCTTTCTTGCATCTGGGCTGACCAATTCTCTCTGTCCTCAGTCCTTTTTCCATTTTGGAAATCACAATCACATTCTATTCCTGCCTTTTTGGATTGCCATCAGAATACCAGAACTATACCTATGAGTGTTCTTAGACACTTTATCATAGATTTGCAGATAATCCCGACAAACCAACTGTAATTTAATCATCCAAAGGAGTGAGATCATTCCAACAATAATAAACAGACATAAAACCAAAACCAGTTGCTGCTGAGTTTATGCCACCTCATGGACACCCCACATGTGTCAGAGTAGAACTGTGCCCCATGGGGTTTTCAATGGCTGATTTTTTGGAATCAGATCACCAGGGCTTTCTTTGGAAACATCTTGTTTGGGTGCACTCCAATCTCTAACCTCTCGGTGAACAGCCAAGGATGTTAACCATTTGCACCACCAGAGGACTCAGCTGTTACATAATACGCTGTGTCAATTTTGAATGGTTCCCCTCATTCCTGTGCCAGGTAAGTGGATGCATGACAACCCTGCCCTCTCTACCCTGATCTGGGAGCACCTGTGCCTACTGGTCAGGAGTGGTGATGCAAGTGGGGATGGGAGCACCTGGCATTCACTCTTTCCTATTATTCTTCTCTTGACCTAACAAAATAATTTCTTCCTCTAACCATTTTTGGGAATACAAACTGTAAGTGCATTATTGAAGGAAGTTGGATGGGCAGGAATAATGCAAGAGACAGGCCAAGGGCTTGTTCTGAGGAAAATTATTGACAGAAACAAGGCAGAAGTTGACATTCCCACATACAGATTTACCTGGAAGGAACTCCAGAGGTAAGTGAGGCAAATAGGACAGAAGGGAGAGGAAGCTGGAAAGGAAACCAGAGGTGGGCTTATGGGGAAAAGCCGCAGCCTTAGCCCTTGGTCTGATTTAGTGAGTCAGGGGAGCCCAGGCCCTTGTCATGGGGCAAGGGGGATACCCACCTGAGTCCAACATTGTTGACATCATCCCATATGGAAGCAGGGCTTTCCCAGAATGTATTCTTCCTGTTGTTTAAGATCGCCTAGAAGGCATGGGAGGGTGATAATCTGAAGGCAGGAAAGTATGAGGGGTTGGGTAGTGGAAGGGACAATGTGTGGGACCAAGGACTCAGGAGTCAGGGGGAGGTCAGAAACATGGAGCTGGGATCAGAGTTTAAAAGTTACCTGGGCCCCGGCATAGGCGTTGTTGACTAACACATCTAGACGCCCATGCTGCTCCTGGTTCACCTGCTCAAACAGTCTTTGCACTTCACTCTCTTGGCTTGAATCACACACCACAGGAATACAGCGGCCCCCGCGGGATTGCGCCTGTAGAAGGATAGAAGGGATAAAAGTTCATGGTCACACATGAGCATGAGACATAATGCAATCCCCCAACTAAAGTGGGCTTGGGAGCTGGGAAGGCACCACAGGTAGCAACTGAGGGAACATGTCAGGCAATACTGCCCTCTGGTGTCTATTTGAGTAGTTTCAGGAATGGTCGTTCATTCCCACTCCCTAGACCTCGTTATCAGTGGATTGGAATTTCATGTTTAAATGAACATTTACTGAGGCTTTCCATATGCAAGGCATTATGTTTTGAGGACAAAAAAGGTGTGGGAAGTTTTCTAGAGAAATAAATAATCTTTCCTCGGTCATTTCCTTCTCATGCCTTGGCTTCCACCCTTCACCATTCACCTTGAACTGCCATACAACTCCAGCCCTCTTAGACTCACTCCATCTCTCCACTTTGGTTATTGAGAAGTCAGAGCTCTTAGGCATGAACTGTTTTTACTTCCCATTCTGCCTTATGCTCTACAAATGGTGCCCCATCCTCCAACTGCAGAGGATGAAGGGTGGCTTATTCAGGAGCAGTCCCCCTACCCTCCTGACCCTTGCTCTGGATCCACCTCTTAACTTCCTGCCGGAACTACTGCAATGCCTGACTGCTCACCTGACCTCCAGTCTTTCTACCTAAAATTAATTCTATTTACTATAGTCAGTGTGAACTATGTAAAATACAGATCTGGACTTCCAGTAAGATGGCAGAATAGTCAGACAAGCCACAGAGACCCTCTTCAACAATGAAAGCAGACACCAGTTGACACAGACACAGAAGATAATCCTGGAGCCCTGAGCTTTGAAGGGAAGGATACAGAAGTGGATTAAATACCAACTAGTATAAGAACCTGCTAATCAGAAGGCTGGCAGTGCAAACCCAGCAGCTACTTCTCGGAAGGAAGACAGGGCAACCTACTTCCATAGAGATACCACCTCAGAAACCCAAGGAAGGGTCCCTATGAGTCGGAAATGACTCAATGGCAGTGAGTTTGTTTTTTTGTTTTTTAGTAGAAGAATCAAAATGTAAACAGTGAATAGGAGACAAATGGATCTGTAGACTGTCAGCTATTCTGACAGCATGGACAGTTTGAATATATTCAAGGGTGTTAAAAAAAAAACAAAAAACACCAGACTCACTGTTGTCGAGTTGGATCTGACTCATAGTGACCCCTCCTTGGGTTTCCAAGGCAGTATCACTATGAAAGTAGATTGTCCAATCTTCCTTCTGAGGAGTGGCTGGTGGGTTTGAACTGCCAGCCTTCTGGTTAGCAGTCAAATGCCTTAGGCACTACACCACCAGAGCTCCAAGTGGTCTTAGGACCTGAGAATTAACCTCAAAATTGGTCCTTTTCACTATGGGCTGTGTGCACAACTGCACTGTTGGCTGACAACTGAAAAAGAGAAAAAGAGACTTCAGCTGTTCGGAGGGTGCAGCCATTCTGAATATTTAAAGCAACAGTGTTCTTGTTCCAATCCCAGGGATCTAAAAAGAGTCTTCGTTTGTGGAGGACAGCTCAGACACACTGGAGGCTGACAACTGGAAAGTTTCACTATTCCCCTTGTCACTCTTATGCCCCACACCCTTTCGGTGAATGGAGGTGTGACCATCCCCCATCTCCACCCACCTTCTGGGCTGGCAGTAATTTCATCCCAGTCTGTGTGCTCTGACAGAGCTTGGGTGCCCAGCCCTGCACCCTCCTCCAATTTGTGTTTAGTTTTCTTTTAAAATTAATTTTCTTTCTTTCTTTTTATTTTCATTCTTTTTCCCTGCCCACCTTCTAGTTTTTGGGTTTTTCCCTTCCCTTTTCCTGGCTCCCATTTTTTTCTTTCTTTTGGTTCTTCCTATCCCTTGTTTTTCCTTTTGCATTTTTCTCACTTTTTTCTTTATTATTTTACTCTAGCTCTTTTCTCTTATTCTCCTCTACACAGATATTGTGGGCTTTTTTTTTTTTTTTT